ATATTTTGTATTTTAATACAAATGAAATGATAATTGGGATATGAAACTAGCGACAAAAAAAAATATCGATAAATAATGATGCCACACATGCACGTAGGAATAGCAATTGAATTATGAGAATCCAAGAAATTAGTGGTGCTTTCTTCTGCATTAAGATTGTAAGTGTGTTTGGTCAAAGTTTTGTCCAATAATAATTTAAAAACAAATAAATATAATATAACTATTGTGATTTAGCTTATTTATTAGTATATAAATGACAATGTATAATATTTATCAGGTAATTAATTACTCTATATATTTATTATAATTAGCTTTTCTTTTAAAGAAATTTAAATTAAATAAATTATTTTTCATATCTCCATTGCTATATGGGTAGCCAATAGCCATGTCCCATTTGACTCTTTTTAAATGTTTGGGAATTTGGGTATACCACAACAAGTGCATACGTGGCTCAATTTGAATTTCTCACGTTAAGACTTGATTTCGACAATGAATTTTTTTAAAGAAAAGGAGAAGAATCACTTACGACCTTATTCTTATAAAGTGGACGTTAATTATACATGTTGATATCAAATTCATGAAATACTTTTTTTTTAAAAATAACTTTCACATTTAGCAAATATAAAAATTATATTTATATGCTATAGCTTCAGTTTGCATAATTGTGCTCCAAAACAAACTTTATTTTTGTTATGGAGCATCAAATTGTATAAATCGCTGGGGGAATCAGATTTGTATAAAATCGTTGGTAGCCTCTCATTTGTATAAATCATTGGCAGCCTCTCGTTTGTATAATTCGTTGGCAGCCTTTCAATTCAATTTTATGTGTTTGTATATCTGCATAAAATTTGAATTTGTATACAATTGAATCGAAATAAAACGTTTGTATATCAAATCTCTCTCTCTTGCTTTATACAAACACAAATTATACATTGTATTTTGTATAATCTGTGTTTGCATAAAGTGAGAAAGAGAGAAAGGCAAAAGAGAACTGGGCAGGGGAAGATTTGTATTGTATAATTATAAGTGTATAAGATGAAGATATATGTATTTGCATGTGTATATACAATTTTCTCTCGCTTTATACAAACAGAAACGCAATTTATACATTTGTGTTTGTATAAAGTGAGAGAGGCGAGGGAGAGACTGGCAAGCGAGAAAGGGAGAGTGGCGAGCGAGAATTTCAGGGAGAGAGGCGAATGGCAACATTTTACTACGAATTACAATTAAATCAAATTGTGGTTATAACATTTAATTTGAATTAATAGTTTGTTATTATATACAATTTTTAAATAATCAAGCCCTAAAAAGTAATTGAAATTGCAGTTTCTGAATTAACAACTAACAATTCGATTTGAAATATTATTCCAAAAAGTAAATTAAAAACAAGAGTACACTAATGAAACATTTATCATATAATAATCTAAATACGCCAAAAATCCATAATAGGAAGTGTAATCTTTAGAGATTCTATCTCCCTATGATAAATAGCTACTATATACAATAATTTTAATATTCATGCACATTTTCTCTACTTATTAAAGTTTTTCACCTACATTGAATTACAAGTCTCTATTCAAATTGCTTATGTATATTATTAAACTCATACATATTTACGATCCTTTTTTTTTTTTTGACAGAAGTAAATTACTTTTAAATGACGTTTGGATGTAAAAATTAAATAAATTTGATATCTCTTCCAAACATTCTAAAAACTAAAAAAGAAAAAAAAAATCTGTGATTTTTTCCCCACCATTTAAATTGTAAAAATCACTTTCTTCTTTTGGCTCAAAGTAGTGTCGGCCAGAAATATTTTGCATGGGAGGAGCCCACAAAAATAGTAAAGTAGGTATTGGTGGATTGGTGGTAGTCTATCCATAAGATGGTAGAAGATTTCGAGTTTAAACTCTTGAAAATTAAGAAAGGGAAAAAGGATAAATATATCTCCGAACTATCATAAATGGTATGTAAATACCCTCCGTCATACTTTTGGGATATTGGTGTTCATGTCGTCCAAAAACTAGAACATATATACCCTTCACTCTAACGGAAGGCTAAATAGGGACATGTGTCATAATTTTATTCGTCGATCCGATATTTAATAAATGTAGGGCCAGTGGATAAGATTATGATATGTGTATATCCATTAGTATAAATGATATATATGCTCTAGTTATTGGACGACATGGGGCACCAATGTCCGAAAAATATGACGGAGGATATCTGCATACCATTTATGATAATTCGGGGGTGTATTTGTCCTTTTTCCATTAAGAAAAATGGAAGTGTCACCTAAGTAAATGAGTTATGTAATGCACAAATTTGAATTTTATCGATCTCAAATAGAGTATTGGACATTGAACCAGATGAATTCAAACACGCGTGTACCTTATCAGTCAAAATCATAAACAACAAAACAAAATTTCCATGTGGAGTCCACTCGTTGGTTAATACTAAACTATTGTCTTGCGTCAATTTCATCAAACAAGATTGACACGTCTACGATAAATTACAAATAAAATAGAGATAATATCATTTTAATCCCTAAGGTATTGATAAATTTAGATATAGTCTTTATGATATATGATTCCGACATATTTAACCTTTAATTAATATAAATATATATTTTTAGTCCTATCAAATATGAAGTATACAAATACAAACTTAACATAAGGGGTGAGGAAATTGAATTGACATATTTAACCTTTAATTAATATAAACATGTATTTTTAGTCCTATCAAATATGAAGTATAGATGAGGAAATTGAATTGAAACGACGATCAACAAAAAGATAAAAAAGAGTATACAATTGAAGATGTGTTTAATCTGATATCATACGGACTAAAATAGAATTTATCAATAAATTGAAGCATTAAATGTACTATTAAATAAATAAAATATTAAAGGGCTTTAAAGATGCCCACGTCACACGTAATAATCAACATTATCAAATCACTAAAAAAGGACTAATAATATTATAATAACTAATGATTAAGACATTTAAGAAAAATCAAAGAAGCTTATTTTTACTTTTTGTTATATTGTAATTTTATAAATTTTCCAATCAAATATAGTGATGTAAATGTGAGTGGGAAGAAAGAAGGTGGAATATGACATTCGTCCATTAATTATTTAATTTTGTTTGTCGTAACAAAGTTAGATAACAAGTGTTTACTATGATACTGGAACATATTACATGAAAAGGATGTTTTAAATATTTTTAAAATTGTTTTGTTGTTTATTTTTATTATAGTTGGTGATCTCCATGGTGACTTTGTTGTTGATCCAAAGCTCAAACGGGGGAGGGGGACGATGTCATCATAGAAAATTAACGCGTAAACTTGATCAAGAAAATTCTTAGTGATATAATTTTCTTGAATTTTAATTTGATGAAAGATGGATTTATCAAAATTGTTAGCACCCTACCGTTTTCCTTTCTTTTTAAAATTTTTTTATTCACAAAACAACAAGCATATCCTAAACCTATTTCAGATTTTGTGCAATTTGAAACATGTAGGGTTTTTACCCTTTTATCATCTTGTAGGCCATTACTTTTTGTATATACTTTGTTGATTGAGAAATGGGCATGTATTTTTATTTTATATAATGATGGTCAAGAATCGAGATTATCTTGGACAAACCTCGACTAATTATAAAAGATACATATTACCTCTCACTAGCACAAGTACTGAATAACTCTGTTCACGAAGACTTAAACAAATCAGAAGAAAGCACATAGGGATTCTTTTGATTCCGCTAGAATTTGAACATTAGACATCATGATTCCCAATCACTTCACTGATCACTAAGCCACATTCTTGAGTACATACTAGAAATGAAGATATTTTGTAAAGTATGTGCCTAAAATACCCCTATGACAATATAGGATTTTATATATAATCCGCTATTTGTCTAAATAGAAAGGTTGCTTCCTATAGACCCTTGGCTCAAAGAATGAAAGTAAACCATTATGGACTAAAATTGAGAAGAGCCCAACCCAGCATTCCTCTCATTTCTTGGGGTCACACTAAACCTGTTTACCAACTTTGATTACTTCAAGGTGAGCTTTTGCTAAAGATTGAGCTTACCACCTTTTCCTTTGTGTTTTAACTTATTAAGCAAATAACACATCTTACTGAGACAGTAAATAATTCCTTGATTTGCAGGAAATGACAATAAACATCTTCTTTTTCTCCACTTGGATTACAAGATAATGTTCGAGCAGTTGATCAATATGAAGTTCACCTGAATAGTTCTTCGAAACTAAGAACATGGATAGAGATAATACCTCAGAAGTGGGGACTTTTCTGAGCGAAATCCCGTCTTCCAACAAGCAACAATCTCATTTAAGGTCAGGGGATGTGGTTGCTTTGGTGTTCACACTTCCCAGTGCCTGCTGAAATGCTCAGTTGATGGCGCAGACACTGACTTTAACCTCGGCAACAAATCTGGATTGCTGACCATGACTATATATACCAGTTCCAAAAGAGGAGATATACAAATGACATTTAACAGAATAATCATATAGTAATATTTCAAACTCAAATGAACCTAATCATTGGTTAGACCAATGATTGGATAAAAGCTTTTGTATTGTGCAAGAGAAATGTGAGTCGGAAAATGAGGCAGATTAGGTCTCCTCAGGGAAAATTAGTTCTTTCTCTATATTAAAGCTATCTGGATTGTAGCATCTAATATCATTCCCACATTTGCCCTCTTCCATCTAGCTTTATCTAATGAATTTAGCCCTTACTAGGTCATTTAAGCTCTCTCTGGCTTCGTTGTTTGGACTCTCCAAAAAGCAGTCGTATCTAATCCTCCAGAAATGCACTACTTTTGGTTGGATCCAACATGCACCACTCGACAATCGACAATTATGAAGAGTCCGACAACATAGCTCTTTGGCTTTACTATCTTATCACAAGTCTCAACCCCCTCCTTCCCCTCTCCAAAACCAAAGGAAAAAAGAGACAATTCCAGAAGTAGGATCTTTGCAATATATTGTCAATGGAATGATATTTACCAAAAATCTCTGCAAGAACAAGCGCCGTTTACAAATCTGTGAAACCTAACTCTGTCCCTAACAATTATCTCTCTGTTGTATAAGCTACTAATTATCTTCGTCACTTCATGGCAATCCCTACAAACCCTAAGGTTCTTCACTATCCTAATCACTGTTGGTGCTTTTGTCTTCAAAAGGCCAAAAGCAATAGCTAACCTTTCACTGTGCTCACAAAGTGCAATCTCCTTCTCTTCATCACTCACATTATGCAGAATAGGAGCAATCCAAGGTTCATGTCCTGCAGAGTATACCCTTTGAGATATATCCCTTAGGAACTCTTTGATCTCCTCTGCTTCAGGGTGTGACCAATCACCCATCACAAACTCGTGCACAAAACCGTCAACTTCAATGGAACTGCATCCTGGCATAGCCTTAATACCTTTGTCTTTCATCTGTTTTCTCACGTGCCGCATTTTCTCCCAGTCTGATACTGATGCATACAGACTAGAGAGTAGGTTATAGTTCTCCGCATTCCACGGTTCTAATTCAATGAGATGCTGACCTAGAATTTCACCTTTGTCCAAGATTTTGTTCTTTTTGCACCCAACAAGCAATGTACGCAATATTGCTGGACATGGGGCAAGTGGCATGGATTCAACGAATGAATAAGCTTCATCAATTAAGTTTGAACGGCTCAACAAATCTACCATGCAGCCATAGTGCTCTAAAGATGGCTCAATCCCAGACTCAACCATGCTTGCCCAATACCTTTTCCCTTCAGAAACTAGTCCACTATGGGCACATGCCATAAGAACCCCAACTAGTGTCACATGGTTAGGTTCTACCTGAAAGCCAAATTCAAAAATAGATTACAGATAAGTTGCTAATAGTCAGTACATCAAAGTTTTACCATTCAATGATCGGTTATAGTAAATAGACAAAATACTACATCTCAATTCATCTGGTTTTACGCAAACATTCAACACCGAGCCTCATAAGAACAAAGTCATGCTCTCCTTAAATATTATATGTGCATCAAGATGATAACTTTCATACGATTTAGCAAGAAAAATTGCATTTTACAGCATTGTTCATAATAATTGCATTACCTTAGCTTTGTTCATCCTGGAAAAGGTCACCAGTGCATATTCCGCGAGCCCATTTACTGCCAAGCCAACTATCATTGAGCTCCAAGCCTTGGCATCTTTAAAAGGCATTGCTTCGAATACTTCGATTGCCTTTTCAATGTATCCACACTTCGCATACATATTAACAAGCGCAGTACTAAGCTCAAGATCATTCTCAATCGATTGCTTGTCGATATACGCATGCACCCACCTCCCCAAATCTAACGCCCCAGACATAGCACAAGCCGAAATCACACTCACCATTGTAACCTTATCAGGCAAAACACCCGTCTTCTGCATTTCCCTAAACAAACTAAAAGACTCATTAACCATCCCAAGTCTTGAATACCCACTAATCATTGCACTCCAAGCAACCACATTTCTCTCAGGAATTTCATCAAACACCTTCTCCGCCAACCCAATTTCCTCACATTTCGCATATAAATTCAACAACGAAGTCTGAACAAAGGGACTCGATCCAAACCCAGATTGAACAACATGCTTATGCACTTGTTGCCCCTCATCAAACGCCGCCAAAATAGAACACGACTTCAACACAAACGCCAAAGTGAAACTATTCGTTTTCGGGTAATTTCTCTTGAGCAATTTCTTGAATATGAAAAGGGGTTCGTTAGAAGCGATATGAGATTCAAGAAAACCTCTAATGAGAGAATTATATGAAAATATACTAGGATTTGGGATTTGGGTAAGTACCCGTTTGGCGTAATTGAGGCTGCCATTGGGTGAAAGAGCTGCAAAAGTGAGAACTTTTGAGAGAATGAAGGAGATTGTTGAAGATGGAAGAAACGAATGAGTGATTATATGGCCATGGATTTGTTGAAGGATTCTCAGATTTGGACATTTTTGAACCAGTGAAACGAGTCTTTCTTCTACTTCTTCCAGCTCTTCGAACTTTGAGTGGCACTATTTGGAGGCTAATCAAGAATTTGAAATTAGTGGAAGCAGAGTCTAATTTATACTCCCAACAAGTTTCAACACACATACTTAGAAGTATAAGGTCTTAACGCCCACAAAAAATTTCGGTAAAAAATTTGCCGAAGTGCCGTATCACCAAAAATTTATGGACTATATCACACGAAAAATGGTAAAGTTCGGATTTTCCTGCTCTGGGCTTCATTTAAATTTGAAAATGTGGACGTTTGCCCCTCAGGACCAACTCACACCATTAATAAGGTCATAACGGACACTCACAAAAGTGTCCAAGATTTTAGAATACGACATTTGAAATATTTAGGCTTGAATGACTCGTAGTTAAAAGAGTTGGTTGGCAATTCGAACCTTGTAGGGAGTTGAAGAGAGGCCTTTCTGTTAGTTCAAAGGCACTAGGGATGAATCATTATAGACGATATGATGTTTTAGAGTTTGCTCATATTGAATTATTCAAAAACTCATCGACATGTCTGATGGATAAATTCATTATATATTTAAAGTTATGGATTTGTATCTACACATATAACAAGTATAATTAAATTTTATGTATAAATTATATGTTATGTTCGATAAATTGAGTTGATATGAACTAGCTTTATTCTTCAACTGAGATTAGGAGATTTGAGTAGTAAAACATAGACAAGTCCTTGTTTTTTTTTTTTTTAGTATATCCAATTATCCATAATTGGCATAGCAAGTTATCTATAAGTTAGTTTATTACATTTGTTGATAATTTTATAAGGATATAATAGTTTTACTATTACATATTAAGCTACATTAATTAATATCATATACAAAAACTTGCATCAATTTCCTTTACATATTTACATAACTTGGGCTTCAAAGCTACATTAGAATTCCCCAAACCCAATGGGCTAAAGTTATTTTTCAGCCAAATTGTACAAGGTCGGATTCAAACTTTATTGGAGTAATTATGTTGTGTCAAAATCTAACTTTATATTCGAGAATTTGAAGTTTGGAATAACAAAATGAAATAAGGATATTGTTAAGAAAATGAATTTTGATTTAACTCAAATTTACATTAGTAGTTCAAGAGATAAAAACTAATCGAGACCATATAAAGAGTTCGAAAATATCCTCCCAAACACTTTATGTTCGTTCAGGACTGAACATCTGAAGCGTGGACAATATAAGATAGGGGCTCAATAAAGAGTAACTATGAATTTATCCAGACCAAACGTTGATATCATGTTAAGAAAATAGATCTTAGACTTAACTCGATTCGGAAAACTACCCCAAGATAAGGATTTGTCCAAGACCATATAAAGGAGTCTATAGGCATAAGGAAATTGGACCCCCTTTATATAGGTAAGATATTTGGACAATTGTTACCTTATTAACTGACTTTTAACCTAAAATTAGGTAAGATATTTATATTCTTAACAGATTAACAGAATATGATAAAATAACATTATGTTTCACATAATAATAATAAAGAACCTAACTTCTAATAAATAGTAATTTTGTCCAAAATGGACACAGATGACGATTGATATATGAACTTGGTTCTTAAATTTAATACTAATGTTTTGGTCCATTCCTCGAATTTAATATTTGGCCTAACAAATACGTTTTTGGTTGACTCCTAGTACATAATTTATTAATATCAATAAACCGAACAAACAAAAGTTATTTTGCTCTGTCGAACTCATAAAATATTCGCGTTTTGGTCCAAAATTTGAAGTGTTTTTTTTGGTAAATAAAGATTTTATTTATTATCAAAGTAGACATTACGATTCATAAAAAGTACCGTATAAACAGTCCCAATTCTATTCTAAACTAACTTATAGCATCCTAACTCTTATAATCTAGACTCCTCCCGGGTAGAAAATGAGTTTTTGTAGATATCCAAAATTTGAAGTTTATTAATTCACAATTCTACTCTTTTTATTAAGTTATTGAATTTTAATTTCATAATTTAAACATATGTTTAATAACTTTTTTGAGACAATTACAAAAATTAAACTAAAATTACTCGATTCGATCAAACTTATAACTTGTACTCTAGCTATGATGTGTGTGACCTATGTTATTTAACTTTAAGCTTGCTAGGAGAAGTTATTACCTTCACTTAACTAACTTGAAAATGTCACAATAAAAGATGTTATATTAGCTATTCCATTCTTTGCTTGTTCCCATAATTTCTTTTTATCTTATCTAAAAAATGAAATTAACTACGTGTCACATGTTTTGCTAAAGAAAACAAACATATAGGAACATTATATGTAAATTATAAGTTCAATGAAATTATGTTGGAAATAAGGAAGTTCTTCATTATCATCCTTAATTAAGTAATTATCATTTCTTAATAATTAATTGTTTTTTTCTTAATACTAATTATTTTAGTGGCTATGATTTGCGGTAGTGTCCAATGTCATCAAGATAGAGATAACACATCAAAGTACTTGCTGTGTTTTTTATTTACACGTTTCTAAATAAAATATTAATTTGAAAGTTCTTAAATATTTTATCTTGATTAATTTGTGGTAATAATATTATAATTGTAGCTATATTATATTTAACATCAATAATATAATATAGATATTTATGATCAGTACTCTGTATAAATATCATTAAAGGCTTTATTGATTCTGACTATAGTGACGTTAACTCAATTATATTGTCGCTAGAAGTTTTGTAACAATAAGTAATGTCGTTAAAAGAAATATTTATTGCCACTAAATATCTCTTTAAATTTGTTGAAGTGTTTATGTCTTAAATATGACCTCTCTTCACCAAATATATGCAGTATTATAAGTAATATAGGAATTTGTTATGCGAAATTTAATTATTCATATATCTGTCGAGAAAAGCAAGCACAAACAAAGGTGGCAGAAGAAAACTCAATCTAAAGTTTTTCCTTCTATTTGAACCAAGAGAAGACATAATGCAAGAACTAATATCGTCCTGGGTAGCAAACAAATCAACCAAAACAAATAATATAACAAGGTAAAATCAAATCAATACACGAGACACCAAGATTAGCATGGAAAACCTCTTCGGGTTGAAGAGTGAAAAATCATAAGGTCAAAGCTTCATTAAAATCAACAAGAGTTACAAATGTGTTCTCCAAAATGACCACTAAAGAAGTGTCAAACAATAAGCAACAAAAACTACAAGATAACACCAAAAACTAGAGAAATAAAAGGAATAAAATCACCGAAACATGCAACTACTGTTCATGAGCAGAAATCTGGAGCTATGAGACTCCAAATTCACCTTTCTCAGTTCCCAATCATAGATTAAGTTGAAAGAAATAAGTTGTCTAAAAATCAGCTCAATTGGACAAGGAACGAAGCGAAAATCGCGATTTGAAATTGATTGGTAAGGCTTGTGCGAAAATTTGCACTCTCTCACTTTTCTCTACATATGACTGCTGATAAATGGTTTGTTAATAATCTGAAAATAAGACATAAAAGAAGCCTTACATATATATGTACCATAGTATTGGATTTATGGACAAAAATGGGCTGGTCCAAATTGATCTTTTATTTATCCACATAGAGAAAAATACTCAAAACCCAACAATATCGGCTATTCTATCTTTTACTCCACATATATAAAATAATGTACATAAATTCTCTCGTAACTAATTATACATATATTAATTATGAGGATTGTAAACTAATATGCAAACGTCGTATTTGACATACTTATAATTAAAATACACTATCAAATACGACATTAGTTAATTATGTTCTTTTTAGGAAAAAATACGCGAAATGGCAAACATCTAAAGTATATTATGTAATATAGCTATAGTTTTAGATTGTTTTTAAGTCATGGCTATTGTTTCATGAAATTTTTCTATTCGGTTTTCTAATTGTATAATTTGTATAATTCAGTCCTTGATTGTTAAATCCAGATTTTGTATAATTCGGTTCCTGATTGTATAAATCCAGAATTTGTATATGCTTACCTTAACTATTTGTTTACGATTTATGAAAAAATCATAATAAATTAACCTATTTGTATATTGACAAGTGAAATATACAAACGATGTTCTAAAAAATTCCTAAATGTATTTGTTTACCATGTTTATATATACTTACCATAATTGTATATTTGCAAGCGAAATATACAAATTGTAGTCTCCATAGCAAATGAAACTATAGTCAGAGGCGTATGCAGAAGGGGGTCATCGGGTTCACTTGAACCCATGTTTCCCTCCAGAAATCATATATAGTAATGTTATTTTTTTAAATTTTTTTGTTAAATATAGATGTGTGAACCCACACTCGAAATATCATATAATGTGATGATGATTTGGTGCACCTCTTAATGAGGTTTATTTTATTTTATTTTTCTATCTAAAAGTGGGTAACACCCCTCTCTAAGTGGTTATTGATAGTATTTTTGACGTTTTAATTAATTAAGCATTTTAATTTTGGACCTATAATTGTTTGATCAATGATAGAAACCTAAATGTCAAACCGATTAGATCCACCTTTTGGTAATAGTGCACCTATCATCTCGAAATCCTGAATACGCCTCTGAGTCTATAGGTATAGTCCGTATAGAGCACAATTACCGAAATCATAGCTATAGTGCCTTATGTCACCCGAATGCCCGTCGGTCGATTCATCCCATTTTTTTCTTCCTTGTAATAAACCATACACATATGAGGAGAGATTAAATTAGAGATTATTTTTCCATTTAGAGAAGATTAATCAATTAAATGTAACTAAACATGTAAAGTTCTATAAAGGTAACAAAACACGTAAACTGCTATAAAGGTAATTCCTATTTAAAAGATAAATAAATGCTTAAAAGAAGTGCCAAAAAAACACAAACAGACAAATAAAATTAAACCTACTTCAAGGGAAGTTCTTCTTGTATACAAATAAACAAATTCAAGTTATTCACGACATTTCTTTTTGGTTTTCAGTTGTGGTTCCGTATTTATATTGAAGCCCGATCAATTTAGATTTGCACCGTATAGGATCTGATTCGAAAAAATATATATGCCATTAATGATT